TCCCTTGTAAATTACGCTGCGTCCGCGCTCCCAGGGCCACGATCCTTCAAAAATTACATGGGGCTTCGCGCTCCCAGTGCCAAAACACGGTCAGAATTACACTGGATTCGCGACCACAGGGCCACGATCCATTATAAATCACGCGGGATTCACGCTCCCAAAGCCACGATCCCTCGTACATTCGCTGCGCCCGCACTCCCACAGCCCCCTGGGGCATCCTCGGACGTTAACGTTCCTGGAGCTCCTACACTTCCAGCGTTCCGCTCGAGACATCCTCACAAATTGTGCAAAACGAGCGTTTCGCTCGAGACATCCGCAACAAACGGAAACTCTCACTTTACCTCGTTATGTCTCGAGCGGAAGCTCAAAAACCCGCGTTTCGCTCGAGACGTCCTCAGAAATAATTCCGCTGGCCCTCTTCAAACCTCATGAAATATGGCAGAAGAATCCGCCGGCCTCCCCAAATCATAACCGGGGGTTAACAAAACTAAAAGAGAACCCTGGGCCGGATCCCTTTCCAGGAACATGATCGACCCACGAACCCGGAAAGGATTATAGTAATGTAAGGCATGGCAACGTTTCAACGACTCCTGATTGGGCGACGGGCAAGTACACTGCTGAATGTATCGATCTTGATGTACTGTGCCGACGGCTGTGCTGTGCTACGCCGTGCTGAACTGCGATGTGCCATGCCGCGATTGTGCTCTCTCTCTCTCTCTCTGTATATATATATATATATATATATATAGCGTTGTGGATCGAGTCCTCCCTGGCATCCGAATCCTGACCGAGCTGATCTGGACCTTAAGCTCGAAAACACACGGTTCCAGCGCAGGACCTCCATGTTAGATACCCACCTGGGTGGCCTGTACACGTGAAAACACGTGGTTCCAGCGCAGGACCACCATGTTAGATACCCCCTGGGCCAGCTCAGGACCACCATGTTAGATATCCTCCTGGGTGGCCCGGACATGCGAAAACACGTGATTCCAGCTCGGGACCACCATGTTAGATACCCTGGGTGGCCTGAACATGTGAAAACACGTGGTTCCAGCTCGGGACCACCATGTTAGATACCCCCCTGGGTGGCCTGAACACGTGAAAACACACGGTTCCAGCTCGGGACCACCATGTTAGATACCCACCTGGGTGGCCTGAACACGTGAAAACACGCGGTCCCAGCTCGGGACCACCATGTTAGATACCCACCTGGGTGGCCTGAACACGTGAAATCACACGGTTCCAGCGCAGGACCACCAGGTTAGATACCCCCCTGGGTGGCCTGGACACGTGAAAACACGTGGTTCCAGCTCGGGACCACCATGTTAGATACCCCCCCCTGAACACGTGAAAACACGGTTCCAGCTCGGGACCACCATGTTAGATACCCACCTGGGTGGCCTGGACACGTGAAAACACGTGGTTCCAGCTCGGGACCACCATGTTAGATACCCCCCTGGGTTGCCTGAACACGTGAAAACACGCGGTCCCAGCTCGGGACCACCATGTTAGACACCCCCCTGGGTGGCCTGAACACGTGAAATCACACGGTTCCAGCGCAGGACCACCAGGTTAGATACCCCCCTGGGTGGCCTGGACACGTGAAAACACGTGGTTCCAGCTCGGGACCACCATGTTAGATACCCCCCTGGGTGGCCTGAACACGTGAAAACACGTGGTTCCAGCTCGGGACCACCAGGTTAGATACCCCCCTGGGTGGCCTGGACACGTGAAAACACGTGGTTCCAGCTCGGGACCACCATGTTAGATACCCCCCTGGGTGGCCTGAACACGTGAAAACACGTGGTTCCAGCTCGGGACCACCATGTTAGATACCCCCCTGGGTGGCCTGAACACGTGAAAACACGTGGTTCCAGCTCGGGACCACCAGGTTAGATACCCCCCTGGGTGGCCTGAACACGTGAAAACACGTGGTTCCAGCTCGGGACCACCATGTTAGATACCCCCATGTCTGGCCTGGACACGTGAAAACACGTGGTTCCAGCGCGACACCACCGTGTCAGATACCCCCCCCTGGGTGGCCTGGACACGTAAAAACACGTGGTTCCAGGTCGGAACCACGTGCAAATTCACACTTTACCGCGTAATTCATCGCAGAATAATTCCGCTGGCCCTACTCCCGCACGTAATTTATCGCAGAATAATTCTGCCGGCCCTACAGCCGTCGAAACCGGGGGGAACCAACTAAAAGAGAACCCTGGGCTCGAGCCCTTTCCGGGAAAAACATGTGTATCCAGCTCTGGGCAACCATGTTAGATACAACCTTGGGTGGCCTAGACACGTCAAAACACGTGGTGCCAGCTCTGGGGCAAGCATGTTAGATACACGCCTGAGTAGCCTGGACATGTAAAAGCACGTGGTGCCAGCTCGGGACAACCATGTTAGATACACCCCTGAGTGGCCTGGACACGTTAAGACACGTGGTTCCAGCTATCCTGGGGGGATATCCAACATGCGGTCGTCTGGGGCGCCGGCGAGGGACAACCATGTTAGATACCCGCCTGGCCGACCTGGGCACGTGAAAACAAGCATTTCGCCTGAGACATCCTTTGAATTCTGGCCCCCCACGAGGCCCCCGCTTGAGACATCCCCCAACTCTGCAAAACCAGCGTTTCGCCTGAGAAGTCTTCAAACATGATGGACCCACGAACCCGGAAAGGGATATAGACATGTGGAGCATGGACACGTTTTCACGATACCCAACTGGGCAACACCTCACGAAACATCCCACGAGACACTTCACGAAACATCCCACGAGACACCTCACGGAACATTCCACGAGACACCTCACGAAACATTCCACGAGACACCCCGCGAAACATTCCACGAGACACCCCACGAAACATTCCACGACGACAGGCAACCACTCAACCAAGGCGGTGTGGTCGTGCTGGGGGGTGGTCGTGCTGGGGCGTGGTCGTGATGTGGTGAGGTCGTGCTGGGGTGTGGTCGTGCTGGGGTGTGGTGCTGGGGTCGTGCTGGGGTGGGGTCGTGCTGGGGTGGGGTCCTGCTGGGGTGTGGTCGTGCTGGGGTGTGGTCGTGCTGGGGTGGGGTCGTGCTTGGGTGGGGTCGTGCTGGGGTGTGGTCGTTCTGGGGTGTGGTCGTGCTGGGGTGTGGTCGTGCTAGGGTGGGGTCGTGCTGGGGTGGGGTCGTGCTGGGGTGTGGTCGTGCTGGGGTGTGGTCGTGCTGGGGTGTGGTCGTGCTGGGGCGTGGTCGTGCTGGGGTGGGGTCGTGCTGGGGTGGGGTCGTGCTGGGGTGTGGTCGTGCTGGGGTGGTCCGCACCCTGTGATTTATCGATCGGGTCGTGCTGGGGTGTGGTCGTGCTGGTGCTGGGGTGTGGTCGTGCTGGGGTGTGGTCGTGCTGGGGTGTGGTCGTGCTGGGGGTGGTCGTGCGTGGCGTGGGGCGTGGTCGTGCTGGGGCGTGGTCGTGCTGGGGCGTGGTCGTGCTGGGGTGTGGTCGTGCTGTGGTGAGGTCGTGCTGGGGTGTGGTCGTGCTGGGGTGTGGTCTTGCTGGGGTGGGGTCGTGCTGGGGTGGGGTCCTGCTGGGGTGTGGTCGTGCTGGGGTGTGGTCGTGCTGGGGTGGGGTCGTGCTTGGGTGGGGTCGTGCTGGGGTGTGGTCGTTCTGGGGTGTGTCGTGCTGGGGTGTGGTCGTGCTAGGGTGGGGTCGTGCTGGGTGTGGGGTCGTGCTGGGGTGTGGTCGTGCTGGGGTGTGGTCGTGCTGGGGTGGTCGTGCTGGGGTGGGGTCGTGCGTGGCGTGGTCGTGCTGCGTGGTCGTGCTGGGGTGGGGTCGTGCTGGGGTGGGGTCGTGCTGGGGTGTGGTCGTGCTGGGGTGGTCCGCACCCTGTGATTTATCGATCGGGTCGTGCTGGGGTGTGGTCGTGCTGGTGCTGGGGTGTGGTCGTGCTGGGGTGTGGTCGTGCTGGGGTGTGGTCGTGCTGGGGTGTGGTCGTGCTGGGGCGTGGTCGTGCTGGGCGTGGTCGTGCTGGGGTGTGGTCATGCTGGGGGTGTGGTCGTGCTGAGGTGTCCCGCACCCTGTGATTTATCGATCGGGATTTCAAAAACAAGCGTTTCGCCTGAGACATCCTCAAATTTTAATCCGCCGGCCTCCTTCGACCTCGATATTTATCAGGGAAAGAATCCGCCGGTCTCCTTCAAGTTGGGCACCGGGGACATGTTTACATACTAAAAGAGAACCCTGGGCCTACGCCCTTTCCGGGACAAACTTATATAAAACAGCCGGTTTGCTAGGGATATCCTCAACTTTTTGATTCGCCGGCCCTACGCGACCTCGTTATTTATCGCAGAATAATTTCGCTGGCCCTGCAACAGTCGGGTCCAGGGGGAAACAGCTAAAAGAGAACCCTGGGCCCGAGCCCTTTCCGGGAAAATTTTGCGCGGCCCTCTGAAATTTCATGATAATGCAACTTTTCTTGGCACGTCCGAAATGGGTACGGACAACGAATGTGACGATGCCCAATCAGAAATTTCGTCCAACACCGACAGCGGCCGCCACTGGGCAGGCGACCCTTCCGTACGAACTTCGGTCGGACCGATTTTCTTCTTCGAGGGACGAGGGATGGTTTTGCACCCGAGGCAATTCCAATCAGCATCGAATCGATAAATCGGATCGAATGAGTGAGCGTCGGACAGGGCTGCATCGGCATGAAGCTGCGCTGGGATGCACCACAGCGACGTGCAAGCCTCGGGCCCCATCGGATCGTCGTGCGAGGCGGGGACTTCTCCATAAGCAGCGCCTGGGGGATCGACCTGCGGGGACATCGGCAGGCGGTGACCTCCAGACGCCTCTCGACGAGGCGCAACTGCTGGAAAGCATCCCAAGGCTGGAGAGCCGCCGCGAACCAACGAACACGCCCGAAAACCTCAGACCTCCCACGTCGGGACATCGGAACCGCATCGGATCGAGCCGACCGGAGCCGACATCGAATCGGATCGGAGTGGGCCCTGTCCCCGCCGCTGGCCTCGCGGGTGAGCCAGTCGCTGGCCAGCATCTGGACCGTCTCCGCCCGCAGCACGCGCACGCCGTCGAGGCTGCCCTCCTGGCCCGCACCGTCCCCTCCCGCCCGGCCCTTCCTTTGGGAGCAGTGGCAGGTGGCGACATCCGAACCCTACCCCCGCCAACCATCGATGCACCTGAACCGACGGGAGGCGGGCGTAGGGTTCGGATTTCGCCACGCGTGCGCGTCGAATGCCGAATCCTGCCCCCGCCGCCCATCGAGCCGCCTGAATCGTGGATCGGCGAGGGTAGGGTTCGGACTTCGCCCCCGAAACGAGGAGTCGAATCGGGAAATCGGATCGGCTCGGGATGTGCGTCGGATCGGGCTGCATACCCCCTCCCCTCCCGCCTAACGAACCTCTGCTCTGGGAGCAGTGCGCGAGGCGGGTATGTATGCATGCATGCATGTATGTTTGTTTGTGTGTATGTATGTATGCATGCATGCATGCATGCATGCATGTATGCTTGCTTGCATGTGTATACACATCTGTTTATCTGTTGATATAATTTACATACATACATACATACATACATACACACACACATTCATACATACATACATACATACATACATACATACATACATACATACATACATACATACATACATACACACACATACACACACATACACACATACATACATACATACATACATACATACATACATACATACATACATACATACACACACACACATACATACATACATACATACATACATACATACATACATACACACATACATACATACATTTATATACATATATATATATATATATATATACACACTAGAACCACGCGCGCGCTACGCGCGCGCTTAGGTTCTACTCGCAGATGAGCCACGGGTGCCGCTGTAAGTCCCGCTGTGGTCACAACGACGATTTCCAGCGTTTTGGGGCCCATGCCATCGACGCAAAGAAACGTGTAGTCAGAACGCTCTCCCTCTGCCGGGGCCGCCCTTGAGTGGTGGGAGGGGGAAAGCAAATTGTGAAATGATAGGGCGTAGCGATGCCCCGCTCGCTCTGGCGGGGCCTGCCTGGCACTCTGGCGGGGCCGTCCCAGGAGAGGAGGGAGGAGCACGAAAGCTGCGGGGTCTAAGGGGAGGAAGAGGAGAGGAGGGACTGGAGGCAAGGGGAGGGGGCGGGAAGGAAGGAGGGACGGAAGGGGGGGGCCCGGGCCATCTGGGCCGTCTTGGAACGCCTTGGGGTCTCCCGCTCCCGCTCTGTGGCCCAGCTTGGGCCTGTCCTGGGGCTCCCTTGGGCCGTCTGGGGCTCCTCCTCGGCAATTTTCGCGCTCCCTGGGGCCGTCTTGGGGGTCTTTTGTGTGCCTCTTCGGTGGTCTTGGGGCGGTCTTGGGGGTGTCTTCTGCCGTCTTCGAGCGTTGGAAGCTCGAGAACGCGAGAAAGCGAAACACATCGAACAAATCAGTGCATATCAATGATTTGGGCCTCTTTGGGCTCTCTATGGACGTCACTCGGAGCTCTCTTGAGCCCTCTTGGAGGCCTCTTGGGCTGTGTGTTTGCCGTCTTGAGCTCCTCTTGGGCCATGGCAGAATCATCTGGGCCGTCCTGGAGCTCCTTGCGGCCTCCCGCTCCCGCTCTGGGGTCCATCTTGTGCCTCTCCTGGGATCCTCTTGAGCAGTCTCGGGCTACTCTTGGCAGTCTTCAGACTCTGCTGGGCCGTCTTGCGCGTCTTTTCGGGGCCTCTTCGGCGGTCTTGAGGCGATCTTCGGGGCGTCTTCGGCCGTCTTGGAGCGTTGGAAGCTCGTGAACGCGAGAAAGCGAAACACATTGAAGCAAACGCCCCGAAACTCAAGGATATGGGCCTCGTCGGGCTCTCTCGGGGCGCCTCTCGGAGCGCTTTTGGGGGCCCCTTGGAACGCTCCTGGGCTGTGTTGGCCGTGTTGGGCCCATCTGGGGCCACGTTGGGGCCATCAGGGCCGTCGTGGAGCGCCTTGGGGCCTCCCGCTCCCGCTCTGGGGCCCAGCTTGGGCCTGTCCTGGGGCTCTCTTGGGCAATCTTGGGCTGCTCTTGGGCAGTCTTCAGTCTCTCCTGGGCCGTCTTGGGGCTCTTTTTCCCCATATTCTAAGATGGGGTTCTTGTTATTACTTGGACGCCTCCTACTCCTTCTTCTCCCTCTTCTCCTTCTCCTCCTCCTCATACCCAGGCTTACTCACACTCATATTTACTCATACCCAGACTTACTCAGACACAAACTTACTCACACTCAGACCTACTCATACTCAGACCTACTCCTACTCAGAGTTACTCACGCTGAGACTCACTCATGCACAGACTAACTAATACTCAGACTTGTTCCCAGACTTACTCATACTCAGACCTCCTCGTATTCAGAACTTTTTTTCATTGTCTGATTTCTTCCACACACACAGCAGATTGTGAGGATGTCTCAGGCGGGGCGCTGGTTTCAGCATCCCCAAAGGGGGCCGCCAGGGATGTTTTCACGGTCCCGTTCGCGGCCGTTTTGTGGGGATGTCTCGAGCGGTTTGCCTGTTTCCTGTCCCAGCATCCTTCGCTTTCGGAGCAGATTTGGAAGCTGTCTCGAGCGAGGCGCTCATTTTCACGTACCGAAAGGGGGGGCCGCCGAGGGGTATTGCACGGTCCCGTTCGCGGCCGTTATGTGGGGTTGTCTCAAGCGGTTTGCCTGTTTTCTGTCCCGACATCCTTCGCTGTCGGAGCAGATTTGGAAGATGTCTCGAGCGAGGCGCTCATTTTCACCCCCCAGGTGGGCCAGATTTTGAGGATGTCTCGATCGGTTTGCCTGTTGTGGTGGCCAGGCTCGTGGGCGCAGATTCTTCTCAGGGTGCCACAGGAGGCTCCAACAGGCTCCAGGAGGCCCCAGGAGACCACATGAGGTCCCAGGAGGCATCATGAGGCCACAGAAAAACTCAAGAGGCCACAGGATGTCCCAAGAGGCTCAAGGAGGCCCCAGGAAGCTCCAGAAGGCCTCAGGAGGCCCCAGGTGGCCACAGGAAGCGCTAGGAGGCCTCGGAAGGCAACAGGAGGCCCCGAGAGGCCCCAGGAGCAGGAGGCCTCAGAAAGCAACAGGAGTGGTTCCAATCCCATGTGTTTTACGTACGCTCCTATCGATTGGGCCTCACCTGGAGCATGATTCCTGGATGTTATACGTATGTTTCTATAGATTGTCCTTCTCCTGTTCCTAAATTCCCTACCTAGGCTCTGCCTAGAAAGGTTCTTACTGTATAAGCTTAAAGAGCCGGGCAGTGGACCACGCCCCGGGCGGTTCCCCCGGCATCCCCTGGGAGCGGTTCCCCCAGTCCCCTGGGAGCTTTAGCTTTAGCTTTAGCTTTTAGCTTTAGCGTTAGCTTAGCTTTAGCTTAGCTTTAGCTTAGCGTTACATGAGCGTTAGCTTAGCGTTAGCTTAGATGTAGCTTAGCTTTAGCTTTAGATTAGCTTTAGCTTAGCTTTAGCTTAGCTTTACTGTTACTACTAATGCTGCTTTCCTAGGGGCTCCAACTCCTAGGTAGGGTCGCACTGGGATAATGTTTTACTCATGTTCCTATATTTTGGGCCTCTCCTGGGGCACGAGTCCTTGGTGCTTTACGTGTGTTCCTATATATTGCCCTTCTCCTGTGGCTCTAATCCGCAAAGTTTTATGTACGTCTGTTGCTATATATTGGGCCTCTCCTGGGGCACGAAACCTCCCTAGGAGATCCCAGGAGGCCCCAAGAGGCTCCTGGAGACCCCAGGAAGCCCCAGTAGGTTTCAGGAGGCCCCAGGAGGCCCCAGGCTCATGCGCAGAGACGCGCTCGTACTACTGAGGCTCATTCACACTCCAATTCATTCGCAGTTAGATTCATGTCCAGACCGTCACAACTGAAGCCCGTTTATATTCGAAAGCTCTTGCGCCTAGACATTCACGGCGGACAGGTCCATGCGAATAGGTGCACATATGGGGAGCTCCACGTAGTGAATAATTGGGGCCTCTTCGGCGGTCTTGGGGCGTTCTCCGGGGCGTATTCGGCCGTCTTCGAGCATTGGAAGCTCGAGAACGCGAGAAAGCGAACAACATTTAAGAAAACGACCCGAAATCAAGGATATGGGCCTCTTCGGGCTCTCGCGGGGCGCCTCTCGGAGCTCTCTTGGGGCCTCTTGGAGGGCTCTTGGGCTGTCTATTGGCTGCGTTGGGCCCATCTGGAGCCAGGTTGGGGCCATGAGGGCCGTCTTGGAGCGCCTTGGGGCCTCCCGCTCCCGCTCTGGGGCCCAGCTTGGGCCTGTCCTGGGGCTCTCTTGGGCCGTCTGAGGCTCGTCCTGAGCAATTTTCGGGCTCCCTGGGGCCGTCTTGGGGCTCTGTTGGGGGCCTCTTCGTCGGTCTTGGGGCGTTCTTGGGGGCGTCGTCGGCTGTCTTGGAGCGTCGGAAGGTCGAAAACGCGAGAAATCGAAAAACGTGTGAACAAAAACCAATGAACATCAATGATTTGGGCCTCTTCGGGCTCTCTCGGTATGCTTCTCGGAGCTCTCTTGAGGCCTCTTGGAGGCCTCTTGGGCTGTGCATTTGCGGTCTCGAACCCATCTTGGGCCACGTTGGGGCTATCTGGGCTGTCTTGGAGGGGCTTGTCGAAGTCCCCGAGGGCTTCTGGGAGCTCCAGGGCCGCTCCGGGGTGCTTTGGGAGCGGTCTGGGAAGCCCTGGTCCTCCCATGGCCCCCCCGTTGCCCGGGCTCTGGGCGCCCGGCCCTCGTACACGGGTATATGTATATATATATATATATATATATATATATAGATGTATATATATATATATATATATGTATATGTATGTGTGTATATGTATATGTACATGTAAATGTATATGCGTATGTGTGTGTATATATATGTATATAGATATATGAGCATGTCCACGGCCAGGGGAACCGACGTCCTAGGACCCCAGCAGGCGGTGGACATGGCATATGGGTACGTGCTGGCCCCAGGGATTCAAACTTTGTCCACGTACACCGCCCGCCGAAGTCCCCGAAGATCGATCCCCTCAGCGGTGGTTATGGATAAATCCGCGCCTCCG